AAATAAACATAAAACACTTCCTGATTAACCATTTAAAGAAAAACTGACATATCAAACAAAACAGATCTAACTTATCTAGAAAAAATGGTGACCAAAGCATACAGAGGGTGGCACAAAACACTAAACTAGTGAACACCATGGACAGGAATGTACAGGGTACCCTAAATACCTAGTCCACATAGCTCCCACCACACACCTAAGGTTTGCAGCATCCAGAGCCACTCACCAAAATCAAGCAGTGAAAAATGGAGTTGTGTGAATGAGGAGAGCAGCTTTTAGAGTAACCACAATGAACTGCTTTTAGAGCAGGGATCCTAGGATGAGCTCACCCAAGTAATCATAGGGTAGCCAATGGCAAGGGAGCACTGAACCACTCTAATTAGGACTCGCCCGCAGAGGAAAATAGAAGTACAGATTGCATGCATGTAACAATATCATATCCAAATATTTATAAACTTTCATTTCCACCTTGATGTTGTCCAAGATTGTCATTCCATAGACCCTCAGTGCCGTAGCTCCTTTCATCGTGAATGAAAATCACCTCTGTCGCTCGAGCATCATCAGCATTTTGGATCAGTTCCTGTTTCAAAATAAAATCAGTAATGATTCAAACCCCGGTGAGCTCAATAGAAACAATCTTCAGGCAACCGTCCATAGTAAATAAGGAATAAATAGACCCAAACCAGATGCTCTGGTTTGCTGAAAAAAAAAAAAAAAAAAAGTGAATCATTGTTATATTAACAAAATTGTCTATATAATTTTGTTAGTTAGAATGTATAAGGACTGGAACTATAAGTTGAAGTACTACTTTGGGGCAGATGTTAGCATTATTGATCACATCTTCTCCATCTCTTCACTGGCACACCACAGGGATCTGTTCTCAGCCCTACTCTCGTTACCCTCTTCACAATACAAGCATGTTTATTATGTTTGCTGGCGACACCGCTGTGGTGTGTCTGACACAGTGGTGTTCCAGCAATAATCTTATGACTTAGACTTAGATTTCCTTTATTGTCATTGCACAAAAAACACAATGTGAATCTTGACAGTTGATTACTTGGCTACCAGTGTAACAGAGCTAAGACCTTATTCCTGCACAATAAATATGTTTTCTATAACTAAGAGCTAGCTGTATACAGGGTAAAGAAGTATATATATACATATATACTGCACTGAGTTATTGAAGAAGTAACATCAATAAATATTGCACTTATTTTTATAGAGTTATTGCTAAACGAAACATTAAATTGAAGACAAAACGAAACTAAGGTGCGTGTAGGGGAGTGGTGGCCTAGTGGTTAGGGCATAAGGCGTTGAATCCTGATGTTGTGAGTTTGATCCCCCACTTCCACAGACTGCCACTCTGGTTCCCTGAGCAAGACCCTTAACCCCCATGCTGCTCCCCGGGCGCCTCACAATGGCAGCTCACTGCTCCCCAAGGGGATGGGTTAAATGCAGAGAAGTAATTTCCCTCTGGGATTTTTAGAGTATAGAAAATCAAAAATTCAAAGCAATCAAAAAAATATTGTCCATGTCCACGGGGGGTGGTTTTATGCTGAACACCAGTAAATCCACAAATTAGATCACAGTAGATCAGGAAGGACTGCACATGCTCTACTTTGCATACAGGGGGAGTTTGGGGGAGCATGTGGACAGCATAAAATGAATAGCCATATACATCTCCTCAAACTTCTTCTGCAATGAGAACTCCTCCCCTCCGGGTGAAGAAGGCCAAACAATGGCTCCTCTGTCTCTGGAATTCAAAAATTATCTTGGCTTCCTCTGTTAGAGTGATAATTATAAAATTATTGTGTGGACATATGAAACATTGAAAGAAAGAAGATGCTATATTTCTATCCTGTGATTCAATCAGAAGGGTCATAAACTTTTATGACCCGCATCCAGTAGGTCATGAGGCAGAGTCACACGGTTGTGCGACTTCCATCCATCCAGATGGTCATTTCACACTATCTTATGACCTGCATCCTGCCAGATAATCATTACTGGGTCTTCTGTTTAAGGCCCGCCCTATTATGTTGTAAACTGTTAATAAAAGGCTTTGCTGTGAAGGGATCTGAGAGAGATTGGTGCTGGTTTGGAGCCAGCAGTCTTTCTCCCCCTTTTCAGAGGTTGACGTTTCAAAATCCCAGTCTGTGTTTGATCATTTCCTCTTAATCTTTTAAACTCACATTTCTCTGGATTAAAACCCAACATCCTCCTCAAACTACTACTAACATGCTTTTATTGAACAACGATGGACAGATCCCTGTCTCAGCAGGACCTGAATGGCACAGAGGAGGAAGCACTTAGAGGTGGTGGAGACAGCACAGGGTATTGTGGAATGCAGTGTACCAGCTCTACACTCTCTTTATGTTTCACAGAAGCCTAGAAAAGGGCTAGATGCATTCCCCAGAGATCCCAGCCACCCAGGGAAATTATTCAGGATCATTATATCCAGAACAAATAGTCTTAAAAACAGTTTATATCCCAAATTTGTGAAAGCATTTGCTGCTCTACAGACACACAGTAGTCCCTATCAAGACCAATCATTCATCAGCTGCTCCAGCACAAGCTGCACTTTATATAAATACTAAGCTGCATCCCCACAAACATGTTTTCATGCTTCTTCTCGCTGATGTTTTTTTAGCTATAATAAGTGATAGAATTTTCCTCTTGGTGTGCCTTATAGCAGAGTGTCCTGACAACCTTTCATTATGGGTCTATTATGAAAATAAAGATTCCTGATTGAGTCCTCTTTACATGTATGTTGATAAATTCTTGTATTTGTAAAGGAGGTGTATGCGTTAACTCTGCATACATGTGCTTGCTTTTTGAGTGTAACCTTGCTTGAATTCAGTTTATTTGTTGCTGTTCTATATCCCACGCCATCAGACAGGAATTCATAAAAGAGGAACCAATAGAGGCTGAAAGGTTATTGGGTATTAACTCCTGGGAATCAGGTGGCGTCCCAACACAGTAATTGTAATAATTAATAGTACCTTTATCAAACCTCTCCCTTAGCTTATATTAGGTTATCAGTAAACAAACTATTAAAACACAGCATCCAGTGATGTAGCAAGACTAGAAAGTCTTATTTTCTTAAAAGTAGTCTATAATAGGATTTTTAAACTTTAGATCTATGTTTTGACTTGGGACTTAAATCTATTGCCAACATCTCTGATATGCAGGAAAATTACATTTCCACTATGTAATCACTACAAAGGTATAATATTACAATGCAAAACTATATAAGATTATAATTCTGTACATCATATTGTGCCAATTAAATGTGAAAAACAACAGGACAAGTGAAGTGACATGACTTAAGGTGTAGGCTTAAAAAGCTATCTACAGCAGATAAAACTTATAAGGTATAATATAAAAGCCTAAAACAAGCACAGTTGTTTTAGTAATATATATCTGGTTTCTTAGATTCCCTAGTAGCTTGTTCTGGTAAAAGAAACATCATTGTTATAATCATAATATAAACACAATACCAACCTTCAAAATTTGTCCACCGTCAGGATATCGACAAAGAATACCTTTTAGGTAGTCAAGGAAGGGTGGTGCGGTGGCCCCAAAGGACCTCCTAAAATTAAGAATATCAAAATAAAAATTAATTACAATCTGTGGTACCTGATATGCTTTATAAACATTTACTTCCATAACTTGTGGATTTCTTAGTGTGATTAGACCTAATCATAATCAGTGTTAAGTTTTACTAAACCATTAAAACCTTATGGTTGCAAAAACAAACAAATAAAGTCAAATTTTTTATTTGATTTAAGGTGTATTTAATGAGATGCTATTAAACTGTAAAACTAGCTGCCAATTTCTTATGAAGCATATAGTGGTGGTGCTTCTGGAGACAATTTTCTGTATGGAGATATTTTCATCTACAAAATCACAGACAACCTTCTTATGTAAATTGAAGGAGCACTTTAAATGTCTGAGCTTCTCATGTCAATCCCTTTGGATATAAATACAATTCTGTAATTTCATTCATAGATAAATTACAGTTATAATTTAATTCTTGCTTCTGACTAGTTGAAGAACCTACTTGATAGACAGAAAAGGAAAAAAAAACAACTTAACAGAAAAACACCTAATAATTGGACAAAGAGGGGCCAAATGTCTAATTTGTATTTAAACCGTGCTTTTAAATCTGGAAAAAAGAAAGAAAATGTTTTGCTTTAGCAGAGATATATTCAAAGTATTTTTATTGTCAGGGTTCTGCCCTCTGTTTAAGTTTATTTTTAATTTCTTGATATTCTGTGTCTTTGTAGTTATTTTCTGTCAGTTTGCCATTTCTTGAGTTACTCTCTGCTGTCCCCTTGTGTCTGTTCCTTCCCTTGGCTCCCTCCTAGTTAGTCCTATTCACACCTGCTCCATATTAGCTGATTAGCCCATCCTTTGTTCTGTTCCCCATATGCACGCCACCTCTGCAATTCCTTTGCTGCTTGCTGATTTCTTGATGTTTTGTAGCTCCCCACCTGACGTTCATTGGATTTTGTTCAGTTTTCATTATTTTTGCATTTTTTCTGGATTTTGCCTCAGTTGCCTGTTAGTACTTAATTAAATCAGCAAAACGAAAGTTAGGTATGCTACTACGGTTCTATGAATCCCGGATGACCGCCAGAGGACGGTGCTGAAAGCACTGAATGTTCCCTTTGGGCATGCGCAGTTCGAGTAATTATACCAACAGAGTCACACCTGTGACAGCGGATGACCACTTAGAAGCTATATAGCCTGGTGTCATCCTTTGCTCTGCTCCTACAGAATCTTCTTGCAAAAGCAAGGATTCTGAGTGACAGAGAAGCTCTGGCGGTCATCCGGGATTCATAGAACCATAGTTACATACGTTACTTTCGTTCTATTTCATCCCTACTGACCGCCAGAGGGCGGTGCTGAAAGCACTGAATGACTAATGCCAACGATGTCACAAGGAATCCTGAGCACATACCTCACTGAGGAGACCCAGCAGAACCTTGTAAAAGGACCTGACCCAGGGGATGAGGGGTAGCCACATTGACACTGTAGAACCTGGTGAAGGTGGTTGGGGAAGCCCATGAAGCAGCAGCACATATTGCTTCCAGCGGAACCCCTCTCAAAGCTGCCCAGGAAGCGGTGGCGCTCCTGGTGGAATGTGCTCTCACACCGACTGGCAGTGAGCAGTGACCTGCAGCGTAGGCGTGGCAGATGACACTCACAATCCAATGGGACCGACAATGTTAAGAAAGAGGACAGCCTAACCTTGGACCCCCATAGCATAGTAAAAGCTGGTCCGAGCGTCTCAGATTGGTGGTGGCTGCAATGTATGCCTCCAACGCTCTTACTGGGCACAACAACTCAGACTCATTCTCAGTTGTACCAGATTGAGGCTGAAACCGAGCCAGCCGCAATGGCTGGTTACGGTGAAAATGAGACAACACCTTAGGCACAAACGCAGTATTAGGCCACAGGGTAACACCAGAGCCATCTGGATTCCACCTGATACACCTAGTGCTGACAGAAAGAGCATGTAGCTCGCTGACCCTCTTAGCTGAGATGATAGCCATCAGGAAAGCAGTCTTGCAGGAAAGCCCCTTGAGTTCTGCTTGTGACAAAGGCTCGAATGGAGGGTGGCACAGAGCTGTGAGAACCAACAGCAGATCCCAATCTGGGGCTCGTGGAACGGGCCGCTGGCACAACCTACGAGCACCACACAGAAAAAGTGAAACCAGTTCATGGCGCCCCACTGTACGGTTGTCAACAGATTGGTGAAGACATGAAATTGCTGAAACATACACTTTAAGGGTCGAAGGAGAGCGGCCCTTATCAAGGAGAGACTGGAGGAACTCCAAGATAGTGGGCACCGAGCAGTAAACCGGGTTCTCATTGTGGGCAGAGCACCACTGAGAAAAGAGGCGCCATCTGTTAGCATACTGCAGCCAAGTGGAGGAAGCCCTAGCACTCAATACGGTGTGTCTCACGGTGTCTGAACACCCAGTCAGCCTCCCAGGGGCCATGCCCACAGCTGGAGACGTTGAGGGTTGGGGTACCATATCTGTCCTCCCAACTGAGACAGCAGATCCCTCCTTGCTGGAAGACGCCATGGAGTACCGTGACACAGACTCCAAAGCAGTGGGAACCACGGCTGCGCTGGCCAGAACGGAGCTACCAGCAACACTCTGTGGCCCTGCTCGAGAAGCCTCCGTAGAGTCGGCCAAATCAGTGAGAGGGGTGGAAAGGCATACAGGAGAACCTGCGGCCATGGATGAGCCAGTGCATCCTGGCCCAGTGCGCCCGCCATCCCGGTTAGGGAATACCATAGGGGGCAATGGGTCGACTCCTCTGTGGCGAACAGATCTACCTCTGCCTGCCCAAAGAGGTTCCAAATTATGCGCACTACGTGAAGAGACCACTCTCCCGGAGCAGGTGCCTGGTGGGATAAAGAGTCCGCAACCTAGTTCTGCCGTCCTGGCAGATACGCTGCGCGCAGGGTACACAGACGGGGAAACGCCCATTCCAGGAGATCTCTCGACACCTTCACCTGGTGCCTCCTTGGCGGTGTATATGATAAACAACAGAGGTGTTGTCCGTCCGAATCAGCACATGCCTTCCCTCTAGGTGGGGCAGAAGGCACCTGAGGGCCATGTGCACAGCCCGCAGCTCCAGCACATTTATGTGTTCGGTGCGCTCCCTTGGGTCCCAGAGACCCCGAACAGCTCTGTGTTGCCACACGGCACCCCAGCCCATGAGGCTGGCATCCGTGGTGACCACCTCCCTTCGACACACTACTAGCCCCATTGGAACACCACTGGACAAAAGGGTCCCGTTTCGCCAAGGAGCTAGGGCATGGAGGCAGCTCCTGGTCACCATCAGCCTGCGATGCCTGTGCAGCCTGGCGCCCAGGCGAAAGCTGTTGAGCCATCGCTGCAAAGGACGCAGAAGGAGCAGCCCTAAGGGCACGACACGAGTGACTGATATCAGTTTGCCCAGCATTCACAGGAAGATGATGTAGGGAAATTCCCTGGCCAGTCTGAATCGACGGACAAGCTGGAGTATGTCATCCACCCTGTGAACAGATGGACGGGGCATCATGGTAGCGGAGTCCAGATGCATCCCAAGAAAGGTGGTTGTCTGAGATGGAACCAGACAACTCTTTGCCAAGTTGACTTTGAGGCCTAACAGTGACACATGAAGTAGAAGCTGGGACGTATCCCGAGAGGCAGCTACCTGAGAGGGAGCACAAAGAAGCCAATCGTCCAGGGAAAAAAGGCTGCAAAAGTAGGGCATATATTGGGAGAGGGGGCGAAAACCGCTGCCGTCACCAGGTATAACACCAACAAACTAAAGAAGCTAACTATGTTAGCCATATATAACTTCGGCAGTGAAGTTACTGAAGTTTCGCCCCTACTCACAGTAGGGGCGAAATCGCTGCCATCACCTGTTCGAAACAAAACAGCACGAAGCTGTAGGTAAAATGCTAAGAAAAAGCTGTAGCGCGGACACTACCATCACCAGCAAACAACTCACTTACCTTCCGTAATCCTCAGAATCCACCCGTTTCAGCCCTGGGAGGGCGGAGAATAACCGCAACTCCAGTCAAGAGACAGGGGCTTTAGACATCGGGGAAGTTAGCGAACCGCTTGCGAGAAGAAAAAAAGAGCAGAGCAAAGGATGACACCAGGCTATATAGCTTCTGAGTGGTCATCCGGTGTCACAGGTGTGGTATAATTACTCGAACTGCGCATGCCCAAAGGGAACATTCAGTGCTTTCAGCACTGCCTTTGGCGGTCAGTAGGGATGAAATAGAACCCATCTCTGCATTTGGGTCCTCAAAGCCTCCACCCAAGCTGACATGTATCTCTTGATAACAATATGACATTATTCCAGGTCAATCTTAAGCTTCTGTCACACTTTTCATATTCTCCTATCCTGTCATTTATATTTCCACATTGAAAACCAATGTATGTGGATCTGAAGATGAGAACATTATAAATATTTTGTGAAATAAAAATACATCAGTCAAATCAACATTGTTTAACCGTTATGATTCAAAACTACTGGAATGTTTAAATCTGGGTTATTGATTTACTTTTTAAATCCTGTTTTAAAAGGAAAGAAAATATCTAAATGTGCACTCAGTTGTTCATTTTATAAGTAACTCAAGTTGAATAACATTTCTACTTTACTGTGAAGGTATGTACCCTTCTGGCCAGGGTTACCAACTCTATCTCCGGTAATAAAAAGGGGATAAAAAATAACACAAATATAAATGATGTAGTCTGATTATAATCATACCTAATAATGAATACTTTATTATTCTGATATTTTAAATAGTTCAACAACAGACTCCAGAAAAACATGACAGTTTGGTAGGTCTGTGTTTACAGTCAGGGTGTGATTTCAAAATCAGTCGTTGCTTCACATGGGAAGGGGAAGAGGTGGGGCAGCTTACCGGGTTTTACTTTTGGCCTTCCCACTCATCCTTCTTGAGTTGGTTGCTGTAAGAAAGATTACATATTGCAACATGTGATAATGCAGCATACAATCTTTTGTGTTAATTTCAACAAAACAAAACCATTAGTGAAGCTTCTCAAGGTAGACTTGCTAACATCAGAATACTCTGCAAAACTAATCTTGAACAGATAATGTGTTTAGGAATAGAATGAAACCAATTTTGATTTACTTATCGATGAGGATAATGACACATTAAACAGACGACCTTTTGTTTTGGAATTTTACAGTGTTGTGGAAAAAGATCTTGAATATCATTAACGGATAAGGTAATTTTAATCAGTATGTTTTCTGGGTATAAAAGACACCAGCAGAAACAAAAAATTAGCTGCTCAGGCAGGCATGGAAAAACTTCCTTTCATCATATTTTATATATATATATATATATATATATATATATATATATATATATATATATATACTGTATACATATATATATATATATGTGTGTGTATATATATAGTCTGATGAGGCACAATGAGGACTGGTATTTTAACCAGCAGGTGGCGCAGTGCATCGACCTATCCAGCAAATATACTTTGGGACCATGTTCCTCATAGTCAATAAATGGGACATTCATAACTGGATGTTTGTGTTAAACTTTATTTTTGTGGGGAAATGCTTTTTTTCTGTCCATTATTTAGGCATATATCTGGAAAAAACAGCCTATGAAGTTTTACATTACAAAATAGGTTTCTTTTAAATATGTTTAGTTTTTTAGTGAATGCTTCTTTATTATTATCATTTTTTCAGATGTAGGCCTATTAATTTGATTGTTTTTTCCTCTTTAATTTGGTCTTAATTCTGTTTTCTCTAGTCTACACAATCAAAGAAAACAAATATGGCATAATTATTGTATTGGGAAGGTCAAAGAATTCAGGTCTCAAAGTAAATATAATCTACCTGATTAATGTAGTGTTGCTCCATAGTAAAGTCAACATAGAGCACAAAGAAAAAATTACGAGTAGTGCCTAGTAGACTACTATATTTTTATATTTTCATTCTTAGCAAAGCTACAGTACAATGTTTAAACAAACTTCTGGATTATATATATATATATATATATATATATATATATATATATATATATATATAGTTATTATTTCTTAACAGCTTCGAATGCGCTGTATTAGAATAATCTAATTCTTGGGTGGTAACGGGTTGTATCATATTTACCTGCATAACCAGTTCTTTGTAACTTTTGATTTATTAGAGTTTCTCAGACTCAAATGCACTGAGGTTAATCACTTCATTTTAAATACAAGCAAAATAAAACCTATGATTTCACCTGCTGACAGACCAGTTCTATGCAGTGCACTAAGTGTCCTGTCCACCCTTAATTCTCCCTACAGCTACATCCTTGGTATTCCTGCAGGTGACAAACTTGCCAAACAGCTGAACAACTGTGCCATGAATGTAGCTTTTTAGAAAGGCTAAATTATTGTTTGTTTTCTTTTACACTTGCTTGAACCCAGTTCCCCTGCCAGTTCCCTGCCAGTTCCCCTGCTAGTTCCCTGCCAGTTCCTCTGCCAGTTCCCTGCCAGTTCCCCTGCCAGTTCCCTTCCAGTTTCCCGCCAGTTCCCCTGCTAGTTCCCTGCCAGTTCCTTGCCAGTTCCTCTGCCAGTTCCCCTGCCAGTTCCCCTGCCAGTTCCCTGCCAGTTCCTCTGCCAGTTCCCTGCCAGTTCCTCTGCCAGTTCCCTGCCAGTTCCCCTGCCAGTTCCCTGCCAGTTCCCCTGCTAGTTCACCTGCCAGTTCCCCTGCCAGTTCCCAAGCTAGTTCCCCTGCCAGTTCCCTGCCAAGCACTGATGGTCAACAGACAACTGACCTCCATCCAGAGCAGAATCAACACACCGGCAGGTTCAGTCCGTTATCATTGACTTTGCATAATTTCCTATCAGTATTTCTTCATATAAGATTATTTTCTCATGTCGTACAGGTTCAAACTTTTTAGGCCAGTGGATGGAAATGCAGGGATTTGATCTGTCAACTAATGCCTATAACTGCTTAGGTTTATCTTAGCTTGTTTTTTCAGACATATGCCTGAATGATTGATAGAAAAAATAATTTTTCACCATAATAAATAAAATTTCACTCAATCATGCGATTTATAAATGTCCAATTTATTGACTATGAAATGTAGAATATATTTTCGGGATAAGATGATTAATGGTCCAAGTAACACACAGCGCCATCTGCTGGTCATTTAAGATACCAAGAAAATATAATGAAAGTTAAATTTTCCATGTCTGCCTGAGCAGGAGCTTTATTTTGGAGGTCAAGCCCAACCATGAAATGGGATTTAGATTCATCTTTCTTTTTGGTCATTGGGTTTTCGTTTCAGGAACGGGGGAAAAAAATTAAATAAAATTAAAAAAATATATAACGATTTGATTTTTGTTAAAAAAAAAATAATAAAAAAAAATTTAATTTCAAAGCATTTCTCTTTTTCATTGTCAAAAAGAGAAAATGAACATTTGAAAAAATTATTTGAATTTCATTTTCCATTTCAGGAAACAAAAACCCAATTACCAAAAGATACATGGACCCATGCAGACATGTTTCAGAATTATTTAAATTCATCACAAAATACTCA